ACAAAGATACAAATATCTGGCCACAGGAACCAAGTACCTAGCCACAGGAACAAGACATCAAGACAAAGATACAAATATCTGGCCACAGGAACCTAGTACCTAGCCACAGGAACAAGACATCAAGACAAAGATACAAATATCTGGCCACAGGAACCAAGTACCTAGCCACAGGAACAAGACATCAAGACAAAGATACAAATATCTGGCCACAAGTACCTAGCTACAGGAACAAGACATCAAGACAAAGATACAAATATCTGGCCACAGGAACCAAGTACCTAGCCACAGGAACAAGACATCAAGACAAAGATACAAATATCTGGCCACAAGTACCTAGTCACAGGAACAAGACATCAAGACAAAGATACAAATATCTGGCCACAGGAACAAGACATCAAGACAAAGATACAAATATCTGGCCACAGGAACCAAGTACCTAGTCACAGGAACAAGACATCAAGACAAAGATACAAATATCTGGCCACAGGAACAAGACATCAAGACAAAGATACAAATATCTGGCCACAGGAACCAAGTACCTAGCCACAGGAACAAGACATCAAGACAAAGATACAAATATCTGGCCACAGGAACAAGACATCAAGACAAAGATACAAATATCTGGCCACAGGAACAAGACATCAAGACAAAGATACAAATATCTGGCCACAGGAACCAAGCACCTAGCCACAGGAACAAGACATCAAGACAAAGATACAAATATCTGGCCACAAGTACCTAGTCACAGGAACAAGACATCAAGACAAAGATACAAATATCTGGCCACAGGAACCAAGTACCTAGCCACAGGAACAAAACATGAAGACAAAGATACAAATATCTCGCCACAAGTACCTAGCCACAGGAACAAGACATCAAGACAAAGATACAAATATCTGGCCACAGGAACCAAGTACCTAGCCACAGGAACAAAACATCAAGACAAAGATACAAAATCTGGCCACAAGTACCTAGCCACAGGAACAAGACATCAAGACAAAGATACAAATATCTGGCCACAGGAACCAAGTACCTAGCCACAGGAACAAGACATCAAGACAAAGATACAAATATCTGGCCACAGGAACCAAGTACCTAGCCACAGGAACAAGACATCAAGACAAAGATACAAATATCTGGCCACAGGAACAAGACATCAAGACAAAGATACAAATATCTGGCCACAGGAACCAAGTACCTAGCCACAGGAACAAAACATCAAGACAAAGATACAAAATCTGGCCACAAGTACCTAGCCACAGGAACAAGACATCAAGACAAAGATACAAATATCTGGCCACAGGAACCAAGTACCTAGCCACAGGAACAAGACATTAAGACAAAGATACAAATATCTTGCCACAAGTACCTAGTCACAGGAACAAGACATCAAGACAAAGATACAAATATCTGGCCACAGGAACCAAGTACCTAGCCACAGGAACAAGACATCAAGACAAAGATACAAATATCTGGCCACAGGAACAAGACATCAAGACAAAGATACAAATATCTGGCCACAGGAACCAAGTACCTAGCCACAGGAACAAGACATCAAGACAAAGATACAAATATCTGGCCACAGGAACCAAGCACCTAGCCACATGAACAAGACATCAAGACAAAGATACAAATATCTGGCCACAGGAACCAAGTACCTAGCCACAGGAACAAGACATCAAGACAAAGATACAAATATCTGGCCACAAGTACCTAGTCACAGGAACAAGACATCAAGACAAAGATACAAATATCTGGCCACAGGAACCAAGTACCTAGCCACAGGAACAAGACATCAAGACAAAGATACAAATATCTGGCCACAGGAACCTAGTACCTAGCCACAGGAACAAGACATCAAGACAAAGATACAAATATCTGGCCACAGGAACCAAGTACCTAGCCACAGGAACAAGACATCAAGACAAAGATACAAATATCTGGCCACAAGTACCTAGCCACAGGAACAAGACATCAAGACAAAGATACAAATATCTGGCCACAGGAACCAAGTACCTAGCCACAGGAACAAGACATCAAGACAAAGATACAAATATCTGGCCACAGGAACCAAGTACCTAGCCACAGGAACAAGACATCAAGACAAAGATACAAATATCTGGCCACAAGTACCTAGTCACAGGAACAAGACATCAAGACAAAGATACAAATATCTGGCCACAGGAACAAGACATCAAGACAAAGATACAAATATCTGGCCACAGGAACCAAGTACCTAGTCACAGGAACAAGACATCAAGACAAAGATACAAATATCTGGCCACAGGAACAAGACATCAAGACAAAGATACAAATATCTGGCCACAGGAACCAAGTACCTAGCCACAGGAACAAGACATCAAGACAAAGATACAAATATCTGGCCACAGGAACAAGACATCAAGACAAAGATACAAATATCTGGCCACAGGAACAAGACATCAAGACAAAGATACAAATATCTGGCCACAGGAACCAAGCACCTAGCCACAGGAACAAGACATCAAGACAAAGATACAAATATCTGGCCACAAGTACCTAGTCACAGGAACAAGACATCAAGACAAAGATACAAATATCTGGCCACAGGAACCAAGTACCTAGCCACAGGAACAAAACATGAAGACAAAGATACAAATATCTGGCCACAAGTACCTAGCCACAGGAACAAGACATCAAGACAAAGATACAAATATCTGGCCACAGGAACCAAGTACCTAGCCACAGGAACAAAACATCAAGACAAAGATACAAAATCTGGCCACAAGTACCTAGCCACAGGAACAAGACATCAAGACAAAGATACAAATATCTGGCCACAGGAACCAAGTACCTAGCCACAGGAACAAGACATTAAGACAAAGATACAAATATCTTGCCACAAGTACCTAGTCACAGGAACAAGACATCAAGACAAAGATACAAATATCTGGCCACAGGAACCAAGTACCTAGCCACAGGAACAAGACATCAAGACAAAGATACAAATATCTGGCCACAGGAACAAGACATCAAGACAAAGATACAAATATCTGGCCACAGGTACCAAGTACCTAGCCACAGGAACAAAACATCAAGACAAAGATACAAATATCTGGCCACAGGAACCAAGCACCTAGCCACATGAACAAGACATCAAGACAAAGATACAAATATCTGGCCACAGGAACCAAGTACCTAGCCACAGGAACAAGACATCAAGACAAAGATACAAATATCTGGCCACAAGTACCTAGTCACAGGAACAAGACATCAAGACAAAGATACAAATATCTGGCCACAGGAACCAAGTACCTAGCCACAGGAACAAGACATCAAGACAAAGATACAAATATCTGGCCACAGGAACCTAGTACCTAGCCACAGGAACAAGACATCAAGACAAAGATACAAATATCTGGCCACAGGAACAAGACATCAAGACAAAGATACAAATATCTGACCACAGGAACCTAGTACCTAGCCACAGGAACAAGACATCAAGACAAAGATACAAATATCTGGCCACAGGAACCTAGTACCTAGCCACAGGAACAAGACATCAAGACAAAGATACAAATATCTGGCCACAGGAACCTAGCCACAGGAACAAGACATCAAGACAAAGATACAAATATCTGGCCACAAGTACCTAGTCACAGGAACAAGACATCAAGACAAAGATACAAATATCTGGCCACAGGAACAAGACATTAAGACAAAGATACAAATATCTGGCCACAAGAACCAAGTACCTAGCCACAGGAACAAGACGTTAGGCCACTGGTACAAACTTCTGTTCACATATATAAACACCAGGCCACATGTAGAAATATCGGACCACAAGTATAAACATCAGGCCACAGAAACAAGACATCGGCTGGGCCAATAAGCCAGCCTTCTCGGCCAGCCTTAAGGCTGCCACCACCCAAGGCCTATACCGTAGTATCTAGCCCCAGCTATGTGTGTGTTTTTCCTATCGCCACCCTTCCTCTTTTATAGGCTGGTTTTGCCCACCCCTTCTCATCTCCCCAGACCATTGCGACCACCAACTGTCTGTTATCTATTTGGCCCGGGCCGACCCGTAGGTTGGGGTAGCGGCCTTAAGCTCATAAATTAAGGAGACGGGTGACCAGCGCTTGGGCTGCCGCCATTGTGCCGGACAGGCCATTAAAATGAAACGCGGAAGCATGCTCATGAACTGACCATACGCGGTCAAGCCAGTGCCAAGGCGATCGCTGGTGCGACGTTGGGCACATTGACGGTTGGCCGTTTATCACTGGAACGCTCATTGCCCGTCCAAAGGCTGATTGGTTTCACCACCGTGGGCATTGCACAATTGAAGTCCCGGGGACTAGGGTTATTAAACGTGGCCAAAAGCTAAAAAATTACCTGGTGACATCACGGGCTGACCACCTGTGTGATACCAGGCCGCCATTTTGTGATTTAGTGGTGGGGGGGACATTAACCCCCGATTTAGTTTTGATAAAACATATCAAAAATATAACTACAAAAAAAAAGCCAAATATGATAACCAAAAACTAAAATAGGCCGATTTAATATTCAATACAATATTATAGCCTTCACCACACGAATATTGTTTTCTTAAAGGCTAAATTATAACTATCCTAGTTTTCCCCATCCGGAGTGATTCCCTTAAATGACTAACCAAGTAACTATTTTACTTAAGAATAAACAATAGAGAACAATATATATATATATATATATATATATATATATATATATATATATATATATATATATATATATATATATGGTGCATTGGTGCATGTGAGTTATATCTTCATTAGAAACAATATCTTATGTGGAGTTTACAAGAGTAAATTCAACAAACATAGGAATTTAAACAAAAAATTGTTTATAACCATCCCATACCATCATTTAACACTTTGTGATAAAAAAAAAATTAATATACCACCTCGACCTGTTTTGTGTTTTATAACTTCATAAGTTTAGGTACAAGTTAACATAGTTATAGTCCTACGTGAGATTATATTTACCTGGTCCAACTTCGACATCCTGAACATTGGGATCATCCGTAGATGTAGATGTGTCCATTTTTATACTTTTACAGAGGCCTATTTTATAAAAATATAAACGACATAAAAAATAATAATATATAGGCCTAATCCAGTGGCGTTGCTATGGCGGGTGTCAAACGGTGCCGTTTCTCGTGGTGTCATCCCCCCACTCAAAAAAAGTATATATATATATATATATATATATATATATATATATATATATATATATATATATATATATATATATATATATATATATATACATATAAATATGTGTGTATATGTATATGTATAGTTGCAATTGCTGTCACCCCCTACCAATTTTTACATGATGGCTTCAATTTGTGCGCACATTATACTAATCCACCTATTAATTCACGTGGAACAGCATCGTATTCAACGTAAATTATTAGATTTTGGTGTCAGCCCCTCACCGGTCGTTAATTGACTTACCAGTTATTCAAAATACTCAACAAAACATTTTTTCCTCTATACATTTTGCAGCTGGTGTCTTCCTCCCCCCTCCCCTCCCGGTGATATTTTTTAAAGTGTGCTCAGTTAACAGTCAAGTAAAGCAGCACCCCTGATTCTCCGCCAGTAGTATTGTGCCTACTTTCGGTTTAAAGAGCGTCCTGCGGTAGTGTAACCGATGTCTCACACGAGCGCCCCGTGACGACTCTGCCGATCGACGAGATGTGTCGTACCTCACTATCACGCAGGGTGATTTACGTACACTCTAGGCTTTCATACAACAAGCGCTAGGGCGTCTGTGTGCTAGTGTGGGCAAACCCGCGCCCCAACAGTTATGATGCAAGAAATATAGCGCCTGCTTTGTTTACATTTAAATAACTCAGTTTTAGAAAACAAGACCACGCGTCTGAAAATACAGTGAATATATTGATCTGTTTACTTCTATAGATTTTGAGTCTTACTTTACACGATTCTTCAGACAGTCATCGGTGGGGAGATGCCACCAGCGAAATCTCCAGCCAAAAAGAACTACAATGTGAAATGTTTTACCTGGGTCTAGGACATTACCCCCCCCCCCACACACACACACCATAGATTCTTTAAGGCATCTCTTCAGAGCCCCATCCCCTCTAGTGGCGTAGCGAGGTCGGGTGTCACCCGGTGCGGCACTTAATGGTGTCACCCCCCCCCCTAGAGGCGTAGCGACGATTCCCGGGGGCTATCTTTCAAATTTTCGATTTGCACCCCCCCCTCAAACTTTCAATTTGCACCACCCCCCTCAAGTTTTTTTCTATATATTTTGCTATTTTTTGCCTTGGTGTCACCCCCCCCCCCCCATATGGTGTCACCCGGGGCGGTCCACACCCCCGCCCCCCCCCCTTCGCTACGCCTCTGCCCCCCCCCCCCCGGAGAAAGTCGACCACTCCCCCCCCCATCATAAATTGAATTTATATAGAAAACAAATAATTTTACCAGTGTCCGCCGTCCGCCCCCACAAATATCAAATGCCCCCCCCCCCGCCCCCCGGAGAAAACAGTATTTAAGAAACACTGCCACACACACCAGTCATTAGCCCTAACCCAATTACCCTCTGCCATGTAACCCACATTAGAGTACATATTACGGGCTGTATATCCCCACTTTCACCATATCTATCTCCTTTTTCGTAACCCCATTCGTAACCAAAAATCATTTCCTTATCCTTAACCATCACCGTATCCCTATTCTTTTTTAAACTTTTTAACATATTCTATTACCTTTATCCCCTATCCTATCTCTTACCCTTAACGATGGGTTATCGACATGGGGTCATGTCCTACTCAGTGGCGTAGCCAGGATCGTCTCAAGGGGGGGGGTCCAATTTTTACCCGGGACAAACTTTCGATTTGCACCCCCCCCCTTAAACTTTCGATTTGCACCCCCCCCCCTCATACTTTATATATCAATCGGTCTATTATAACCTACCCCCCCCCCCCCCCTGCCTACGCCACTGGTCCTACTGAAGTTTTTGGGCCAGGGTAGTTTATCAAGGGAGTTGGTAATTGACAGGAAGTAATTAATATGGGGGGGGGGGTAATGACACTGGGGGAGTCTGCCTAATTGTCTGAAGGAGATTAATGATATGCTACCGGTTTACCCACCTCCTAACCCATTGTGTACATGACATCGTTCTCTATATAGGCCACAAAATTGTAATTGTTTGGCGAAGCAACCTTAATCCCTCCCCTTTAAAAATCCTCCTTATAAGGCTGTTGTTAGCTTTTGGTCTTTTAAACTTTTGTATCTAGATCCGTAACTGCCTCGTTTGATTCATAGTGAACTCTGCACTTTGGTAAGAAGCAACGATCTTAAACCTACGGGGACTTAGCTTACCTGCAAGAAACCCTACCTGATCTCTGCGATTAACATTTAACAAAACAAACAGTCGGAAATAACCGACTCTGTTTGTAAACAGTAGCTGTTAAAAGTAAATGACCCGTGTGACTTAGAACATGCACCAAGCGCACTAATAAACACTTCGTTCAATAATGATGCTAGATCGTTGTTTACTTAACCACAAAGCAAGTGTAAATTATTAGCACTTCACGATGGTGCGAGCACTGGTTAAAGTATAGATTTAATGTATAAATATTTGTTTCTGTCTTATCGGGAGGGGGGGGGGGGAAAGGGGCGCTCTTTGGGGGGAAGGGGGGCAGTGCCCTATTGAATAGATTCCGAAGAAAGAAATGTGTTTAAATTTGCTGGGTTCAACATTCTCATCTTGTCCCTTCTCCCATTCGTGCTCAAAACGCATGGGGTAGATTAAGTGGACTCTATCTGTTTCAAAGACATCTGCATGTATGAGGGAATAGTGTTGTCAGCCCTATGCATAGCTGCTTCGTTGGGCGGGCTCTAGGTCGTCATACAAACCCGAGATTTTTTTAAGGCTTCTCTTCCCCGTCTACCCCCTCCTCCCCGAACTAAATTGAAAAACAAGAATATTTAATTAAAGGAGGAAATAGTTATTTTAACCATGCATACGATTGTAACTAGGAAAAACTAAATACGCTAACCCCTATCGGATGTAGTGTTCTAAAAATGTATTAGTGAGTCCAGAGTTATTTTTCTTAAGAAGAATGTGAAGTCTTGAGTTATTTTTCTTGAGAAGAATGTGAAGTCGAGAGTTATTGTTCTTGAAAAAGTTTGCCAGGCAGGATCTGTTAGAGAAGAGTTTCTAGAAACAAACTGAACAAGTAAAATGAAGTTCATCTTTTTAATTTTTTGAGATATAGATGAAGCATGTGCTAGGTCAAGGTTGTTACATCTTGACACATGCTGGGGGCAAAAAGTAACAAAATTACTGCAGTGCAATCTAGGCACTGAACTTAAATAAACAAATTAAATAAATTTGTAATGATGCCTTTTATAACAATATCATCATCCATTGACATCTTTACTTGTTCCATGTGGTTGTACAAACAGTTGCTTTATGGGGCGGGGTGCAAACTGCACCTGAGGACGCCATTTTTTTTTAAAAGTCCAATTTTATACAGTTTAATGTATTTAGATTAAGAAGCACCAAACTATCAGTTCCCACCAGAGGCGTAGCGACCCTTCCCAGCGCCCGGGGACAGACTTTCGATTTGCACCCCCCTCAAACTTTCGATTTGCACACCCCTCAAACTTTCGATTTGCACCCCCCTTCAAACTTTCGATTTGATTTTCCAACCTATTTTGGCGCCCCCTAAGGTCGGCGCTCGGGGACATATATCCCCCGCCCGCCCCCCCCCCCCTGCTACGCCTCTGGTTCCCACACAGGGTGACACCCACCTTCTCCTATTGAAACTGAGACACGGCACCCACCATCTTCTATAGAAGTTAAGACACGACACCCACCTTCTCCTATAGGAACTGAGACATCGCACCCACTTTCTATAGAAACTGAGACACGCCACCTACCTTCTCCTATAGGAACTGAGACACGACACCCACCTTTTCCTATAGAAACTAACCCAGGCAGATAAAGAATCCCCCCCCCCCAATGAATGACAGAGAAGGAAGGATCCTAACAAGTGAACGCTTAGTCATAGTGATCTCTTCCGGCGCCAACTTTTAATCCCCCTCCCCCATTTTTTTTTATGGTTGTAATTCAAAACTTCAGATGAAATGAGCTTTTAATATTTTTTCAACCCATTTATGCGCCCCTAAGGTTGGCGCCCGGAGACATATGTACCCACCTGCCCCCCCCCCCCCCCCCACTTCACTACGCCTCTGAGTGAACGATGGGTCAGCACTTTAAAGAAATTCTAAATCAACCTCTCTCATCAACCATTCCCGACATACTTCTGTATAATCACCTATTAAACACCCACACAAAGCTAGAAATAGTAAGGCAATAAAGAGTATGAAGGGGTCGGAGGGTTCATGCGGTAGAGAGCTGGACTGCTAACCCGTAAGTCTCGAGTTCGAATCCAGGTTCAAGTCAGTAGAGTCCACCTAACTCCGATGGGTACTTAACTCATAGTGCTGACCACACTATCTCTTCATATGCCGAGGTCACAGAAACAAGTGAACTCTACTTCACCGTCAGGTTTGAAAAGGGAACTTTACTTCACAAAGAGTATGAAAAATGGCCAAGCAGCTGGTATTCCACCAGATGCACTCAAAGCAGACCTTGCCATATCTTTGTAAGGCCTACTTTTATTCACTGAAGATGATTTACTTGTACATAATACAAAACGACTAATTTTTATTTATGCTAAACCTCAAATTTGAATAATTAATTAATTGGTGATCAGATGTTATGTGGAAGGTTGGAGGGTTTTATTTTAAGGAGTATTATTTGTTTAAAGAAGCATCGGGAACATTCACGCCAATGTATTACCCAGAAGGTAATTAGAACTACATAGTCTTTGTCGAGAATAGAATAGATACTTTAATATGTATTGAAACTATTATTCTAATGAATACTAATATCGTTAATTTTATTCTGCCTCAAATTTGCATAAAATCAATAGAAAAGTAAAAAAGTAAAAAAAATTCAAAACTGATTTTTTTAGAATTTTTATTGAAATACATAGACTAATGGTGAATATATAAAAATGTAAAATAAATATAAAATATATTTTAAAGATGTAACATTCTGCAGTCATAATAACAAAACTTGAAACATCTGTATGAATAATATATAATATATGTGCTACAAACATTAATTTTCTCATTTTTTTAAACAAAAAAAAAAAAGAAATATGAATTGTAAATGATGTCAGATAGATTAAGAGTATTAGTCAAAAACAATAAGGAGATTCATTGGTATAAACATTAACTTGTAGATATTTCATCTTTATTGTATAGGCATGCATGCAATTTTTAATTTTTTTTTAACTTAACCAAGTGTTCCTGAGTGACAATTTTGGGTTAAAAGTATTTGAATAGGATTGTAAACTCAAATAATTGAATTTTCACAAGTGAATTTTAAAAATTTTCTTAGCACCAGATAAAAAAAACCAAACTTATTAAATAACATTAATAAAACCTACTTTAAAATTGCAAAATACTGTGATGAAATAAAAATGTTGACATGCTTTGAATATAAAAAAAAATTAAACACAAATTCATCTTAAAAAAGTGTTTCATTTATGTAACAATTAGGTTTTGCAATTAGCTTTTAATAATTTTTTTACCAAACTAATCTTCTTTTCACAATTGGTATAACTACATTTTAAAAAAGCTTTACAAAATTTATTTAATTTTTTTCAAATAATGATAGCAAAAAAGGTTTTTAAATCTTTTTTAAACTATTTTAAGTAGTTTGGTGGTGATAACACACTAAACTTTGTCAATCCATGTTGATCTATATTTTAACACTTCATTTTTAAAAATTTTTTTTTTTTCCTAAGAATCAATGAAAATTTGAATATAGAGAAAAAAAATTTATGAGCCAAATGAATGTATGTCTGGTACTTAGTAATGGCATATTTACATAAAACTGAAATAATATAGATAAATGGTAAATATCAATAAATATATCAAATACTTAACATGGGGGTTTTAAAAATAAGATATAAATAAATAATTATAGTTGTTTTTTTTTTTAAATTTAGTATCTTCCTTTTTTTGTTGAGGTGTTTATGAGAGAAATTTACTTCATCTTGAATTAGGTATCTGAATTTTCAAATTCATAAACTTAAAATGCAGATGAATGTTTACGAAGGATATTGCTAAATTTAAACTCGTGTATTTTCATAGTTGTAGTAGAGGTTATAGAATAGTTTCTTTCTAAATCTAAAAAATGATAACTGTTCAAGGTATGGGTTTTAGGAACAAGAGTACAAGGTTCAGGATTAGAGGAGGAAATTATGCTGTCTATATTTAATTATGTGTTTGGCTAGGTGTTTTTACCCTTTTATCTTTGAAGTGTGCAAATTATTTTCTTAGAAATCATGTTGGACTTCATGATAATATCATGATGATACACAATAGCTTCAATTAATGTCATTAAGTAACCTCTGTGAATACTGACAAACAGCAAGGATTAGTAAAGAAATGTGCAAATAACATCTATAAAGTGATATTTGTATTCAGTCATAGACTCTCATTTGAATCAATAACTTTTAAACTGTGCCTTTAAGCTTAAGTGTGATTGAAAGATAGAAATTGAAAAAAATGAACACTTAGTTTGCAGCTCCAAAGCAGCTTGTTGCTGGCCAGTGGTCTAAACTATCTTCATCCATATCTGAAAGATACCTAAAATTGAAAATAAGTTAGTTTTAGGATAAGTGTTTAATGCTATTAGTGGGGTCAAATGCAAGAACCTGTAACTAAGATCCAAATTATGCAGTGCAGAAACTTATTAATTTTAATATATTAAGTTTCATTCAACAGAAAAGCTAGTTCTTTTATTAAATAACTTTATTAGTAATTTAACATAAAAATTACCTACTTATGATTAGATTTCTACTTAGTTAATTTTATGAGTGGATCTTTTTTTTTTGTAGACACTGAGACTGTGATGGATATAACGCTATAAATTGATGGCTGTTTGATCTTATGTTTTAGTAAACCAAACAAAATATCTGAGGGCACTATTGGAATTAATACTAACTATAGGCTGACTACTACTACAGTGAATTATCCACACAAAGAGTTGAATGAAATAGGTAAGCATTAAAAATTTATAGAATTTTATATAGAATTTAATATACATAGTTGTATAGTGGACACTAAGCATTTGTATATGAGTACCCTAACATCATAACAATATCTATTAGATTTTAAAACATTGAGGTACAAATAAGTAAACTTAAACATACCTTTCAGTGTCAGACGTGGTGAGTTCTTCAATTAAAAACTTCACTTTACTCCAATTTTTAAAGGATATTAGTTCTGTATTTGTGCCAATAAAAAATCGCACAGCCTTTATGCCTATAGCAAAGTATTGAACTTTTTTATATTTGATCATAGAGCCTAATTGATTTCCACATATTCCTTTTCCATCTGTCTTACCCTGGCATAGAACCTGCCCTGTAAAGTCAACTTCATCTATTGTTTTTCTTTTCATATACCTGATCTCCACTTTACCAGATTTCAATAGATCGCTACAACAAATTTAAAATTATATTATATTGATTTTAACTTTGTAAATTCTACAAATTATATTTAAAAATATTTTAATCTTGCTTAAATTTCAATATTGAACACAAAAAAACCCAGGAAAGGTTTCTAAATACTGGGTATGATAAAGTAAGAAATAATATAAAGATTAAGTTATTACATGAAATTGATGTACACAGATTTTTCTGTTCATTAAAAATAAGGGAATTGCATCAGCTTACTTTTAAAAAAATATTAAGGCCATGTTGAGAATACAAATAAATAGAATGTTACAGAATTTCAAAAAATTGTACCTGTCAATAGAGATTCTGTGCTTTCCATAAATTGTCCGTACTTTAGACGAGTCAATTCTAATTTTTCGACAATGTGAACAAACCTGGGGAAATATTGTAAAAACTTCAAATTCAATAATTGTTTTGAATTTGACAGAGGATTTATGACAATCAAAATGTAGGCCTATTGTTTTAAATTTAAATGATAGCTTTACTTACTATGTTAAAATCAACCTCTTTGGGGTCTTTTATTTCTTTCTTCTTTTCAGCTTCAGCATTTTTAGCTTTCTTAATCATATCTAATTGATAATCCATAATTTCTTTCTTAATTTCTGATAATTCCTTTTGATTGATTACATTAATAGCCTCTTCCATTATTTTAGTTCTCTCTATGTTACTTTGTTCTCTTTTTATAACATCTTCTGTAGCTAAGAGAACTGTAGCTCCACCTTCTTTCCTGCACCTTCCTGAAAACAAACAATATCATGAAAAACAAAATATAAATATAATATTGGAGTTAAAACAGTCAAGTGTTGTGGAGAAGCAATATCTACCATGCTTTACCATATCTGTATATATATATATATATATATATATATATATATATATATATATATATATATATATATATATATATATATATATATATATATATATATATATAAATATATACACACACACACACACATATATATATATATGTATATATATATATATATATACATATACATATATATATATATATATATATATATATATATATATATATATATATATATATATATATATATATATATATATATATATAAAATATATATATATATATATATATATATATATATATATATATATATATATATATATATATATATATATATATATATATATTTATATATACACACACACACATATATATATGTATATATATATATATATATATATATATATATATATATATATATATATAGTATATATATATATATATATATATATATATATATATATATATTTATATATACATACATATATATATATATATATATATATATATATATATATATATATAACCTGGGCAGCAAAATCAGCCAATCTATGCAAGAATTAATAAGGTTGCTATGCCTTAACTGTCTTATGACCTATATGGAAAACGTTTGTCATCTCTACCACTACAAAAATTACTATTCTAAATTCAAATGTCAAGGTGGACTTGTATGAAAAGTCTCTAAGACCAATACAGACAGGTCATAGATCTTCTTTAACAACTGCCACAGGCAGATTTTAGGATTGAGGTGGTAGGACAAAGTGTCTAACCTGTGGAGAAGGACAAGGTAGGAGTCTATGGCAGCACAGATTAGAAGAAGGAAGAGGTGCTGGGTGGGGAAAACAACTGCAAAAGGCATATACAAATGTCAGACATTTGAGTGAAATACCCAGAGATGCCAAAACAGCTAAGGAGCTCAGTGATGTCTTGGGAGACAGGCTAAATACACAGATAGTGACTGGAAAAAGGTAAAATAATGGGTGAGGCCCTATGCTCCACAAGGAGTAAAGAGGACAATATATATGTCTATATATTCAAATATATATAAGTATGTGTAGGGAAATTGGTTGGCCATTTTGTGGTGCTGAAGAGAGAGGGGTATTTGAGTCTGTATGTGTGTTTGTAAATGGTCAACAGAGGTAAAGCTAAAAAGAAAAAATCCACACCCTTGCTAGTTTCCAAACATAACAAAATATTGGTTACTACTGTATGTGATAGCTTCTTCCTTGTACAGTCCATGTACAACAAAATGGAACATTAAAAAAAGGCAAAGTAGTGTAAGATGCCTCTAAAAACATATTACGGCAACAAAAGGGCAACCAAATGAAGTAGACTTCACAGCACATTGGCAGAACAGCATGATAAATATGGACAAATTTATAACTGCATTCCAGATTTTCCTGAAGAATAATTGACAGTTTTATACAGGTTTTACACTATGTTTGCTTGATTGCGAATTCAGGCCCACTGAAAATGATACATTTTAGATATTGATTGTTATGATATTATAGTATTGATTATTTGACTGGTTGATTTATTAAATTTTTTTATAATAGAGTCAAGTGCACAATGGTTGTGAGCATAAAAATAAAAAATTACTTGTCATAAAGTTCATCTTGTTGTTACAAGTTATAATACAGATTGAGAATTCGGTACAATAAAATAATTTGACTGTTTCTGTTTTATTACATAGTTATTATAATTTACCTCGAGTCTGCAAGGTGGTAACTTCATTGCCAATGTGATTGTATCGGATAACTAAATTGCAGAGTGGAATATCAAGACCTTCCTCAGCAACAGAAGTAGCTACAAGAAGTCTAATAACTCCAGTCTTAAATTTTCAATAATCTGTTTCTGTGCCTGTTGTGACAATCCTATTGATAATTAAAATGAAAATATATCAAATATATATCTAATATATATCAAATATATATGTATATATATATATTATAGATATATATATATATATATATATATTATATTATATATATAATATATATATATAGATATATATATATATATATATATATATATATATATTTTATAGATATATATATATATATATATATATATATATTTATATATATATATATATATATATATATATATATATATATGTATATATATATATATATATATATATATATATATATATATATATATATATATATATATATGTATATATATATATGTATGTATACATATATATATGTTATGTATATATATATATATATGTATGTATATATATTTTTTTTATATATATATTTATATATTTATATATATATATATGTGAATTTGTTTTCTTCTGAGATCAAAGTAACGCTCGCTATGGTTATGCTAGTACAAAAACATAATAAATGAAAATATATAGAAATAATGTGGTTTTATAAAGCATATGTTCTTTGGAAATCAGCTGACTTAAGCTTACTGAAGATGCTGGTGGAAGTGTAGCTGCGGAGCTAAACTTTGTACTCTTACTCTCTACACTGTTAACGCTTGACTCTTTTGGTCACTTGGTTCAGTTACACTCTAAGTGTTACACTTTATCCCTAAAATTTAAGGCACTTAAGACGACTTAAGTAAAATTCACTGAAATGCTACTTAATTATGTTTTACTTTTGCTTAATTTTAATGACTGTTTTTCTCTTCACTTTTCTTGTCTCTTTTGACAAGCTTTACTTAATTTCACATACAGCCAGTTTAAAACAAAACCTGTTTGATAGAACTTTTTGGTTAGCTCATCATGTATCTTCTGATCATGATTTTTGAATTCATTAAATACTGTTCAGTATAAGATTTTAAACAATTTCAATGTTAAATAGCAAATTGATGGTGAAAAAATTCATTTTTTAAGAAACTCTAAGCTGTTAGAATTAGGGTCATTTTGTATATATTTTTTTAATTTCCTCATTTGATATTTAGTTGTTTAAAAGTGTTTAGAATGTATTATATTTTTCTTTTGTATCATTTAGTTGTACCTATTTTGGTATTGAACCTTTCTGAAATATCAGTAATTTACTCTTAGTTTATTAGAATACCTAGGAAAAGAATATAATAAAACTAATTGTTGGAGATAATTTTATAGGCCTACTTTGCATAAAACACAATTTTTCCCTTTTGCAGATAACAATTACTTTTCAACAATTTATTATTTAGCCTACCTCCCAGAGCTTCACTAACATTTGTTCCAGTTAAAACTGAAGCATTTAGAAAACTTTTGTTGCCTCTGTTCAGCCAAGACACAAGAGCTTCTGCAAGAGCTCGTGTCCTAACAAAAATGATTCCGCGCGAATTTACTCCTTTATTAATTAGTCTTTCTTCTAATGTGTTAGATAGGGTTAAAAGGTTTGGGTTTTCTTCTCCCTGTCCATTTTCCACTAATTCAACCAATTCTGAAAATAAATTAAATAAATAATGGAATTATCTATAAAACAAAATAACATAATTATACAGAAATTATATTTTTATTTCTTTAATTCACATATTTGAATGTTACTTATTTTACATTACACTAGATAATCAGTTTACATAAACCTTAAAACTATTAATGTTCTGAGAGTCATAATGATAATTGATTTATGGAGGTTTTAAAAACAATAGCAAAAGTTATGTTTTGATTAATATTAAAAGCATCAAAGCTAGAATCGTATTTAATAATTAGTTCTCTATTTAGATATTTCAGTATTGATTTTATTGGATAAAAACTCATCTTTTTCAACCTAGTAGGAAGTAATATAATCTACAAAACAAAAGTAACAGTCTGAAATGTATCTTATCACAAAGCTTTAACCACCCTTTCTGTTAAATTAAAATATATGCATTTTGCTAGTTTCAAAAATTTCTAGCACACATGAAGATTTTATATTAAGCTAGCCAAGCCTAGAAAGATGAAAAAATAACATAATTTTTTTAATATTGGTAATGGGAGAAATTTATTTTAAAAGCAAAAACAGCAGTTTATAAGTTTACAGTATATTAATTTGAGATGTATAAGTTACAAAACAGTGAACAATAATTGCCATAATAAGACACAAAATGTCTTTAATTCTTGAAACTTAATTTTAACAGTTACTTTTATTGTAACAAGTTTCTGTGACTTGTAAAATAATTGTCAAAATATTTGAGTGGGATCCAAATGAATGTAAACCTAAATAACACATTTTGAAAAACCTTATCATGTAATTTCTTCTTTACTTTTAGATCTACCATAATCAAGGAGAAGTGACTTATTAAAAACTATTAATTTTATAGAATGCAGTTTTAAATTGTGAATAGAAAATTGTGAACTTAGCAACAATGAAAGATAAAATTTCATTTCTTAAAAAATTCTACCTTCAAAATATCTATAAAAAGTAGCTTCGTCTTGGGGTTTATTTTTGTAATGGTTGAATTTATCAAAACTGTTTGACAAATATGGCATTGCATCTCTGAGCTCGACTAAATCATGGGTTTCCAATGCGAAGTTGTACACCTAGAAATAAAATGTAGCATAAATGTTTTTTATCATTAGTAAAGTGGCACCATGGTGGTTGGTTCCAAAGTTCCCCTACACCTTAGCAGCTGAGGTCTGTTGATTGAGCATCCGGCAAAGGGGTAAAGTCAAGGGTACTACTTGAATTAATGATCAAACTGCACTAGGGGCATACACTGTGCACCAGCAGTTGTGTGCCTGAGTATTATAGTGCCCTACATTAGGGAAATATAGTGAGCTATTACAAAGACTAAACTAAACAAGGGGTGCGATTGGCTCTCCTTTTGTAATGTAAATGGTGACTCCCACAGGTGCCCTGCAATGATCTTGATACCTGGGTGATCGTTGAGTGGTATTCTCCCTTACCCTTTAGGAAGGTGAACAAGATATTCATACAGCACATCCCGGGCAATAGTGTAAACAAACCTGTGCCCCAACAACAAACAAGAATTGTAGTGTCAACATTGTTTACATTTAAACAACTTCAGCTCTAAACAAACAAATGTTATAACTTTGGTATCTAAGAATAACTTATGTTGCAGACTGATACCGTGTGCTGATATTTGAATGGACCCTCACACAAAAGTGATGTTTGATGCTAGTCTTAGTAAATTACTTGTCTACATTCAGCTAATTCATTACTTTGTAGTTAAACATGCATATCGAATTAAAACACATAGAAGCGTTTCCAAATTAAAAGAAATAATAAATACATAATGGATAAATACTTTACTGATAACATGTACTTAAAAAACAGAAAATACCTAACAGATACAGAAATATAAATCCAAAATGTTAAGTAGCACATTTTTCTAAGTTTTGACTTATTTTATAATATATTTACACCACGTCTTACAATGTTTAATCAAGAATAACATACAATTTTACCTTTAAATATTCTGAAATGATTATCAGTGTTCTAACATTCATATTGGTCTCTCCCTCTAGATCACTGATGGGGTGTGTTGTTGCTGCATTGTTTAATTGAACAACCCATTGCCCATAATTTTGACTTTTTCTGTCTGTTGGCTTTGTTTCTAACAAATCTAAAACCTTCTGATTATTTAGTTCTGAAAAAATTTGAAACTCAATGATTATTTTAATAGTGTATATATCATGTAGTGGAAAATATTCCTAAACTATACAAAAAAAATATGAATTTCAATGAGACAAATTATAACTATAGAATTATGTTTTAAATGAAGCCTTCTATGAAGAATACTAGAACTTTGAAATTCAGACCATTAAAAAACAGTTTTTAAATTTAAAATGGATGTACAACTTAATAATTCGATATTACACATTGTATGCAATTTCACTTTTTAAAGCTAAAATATACCTAGAGCATGCTTGTCAATCTGTTCTTCAAGCTTCATCATAATTGAATAAACTTTTTTAATACATTCATCCTCTTCTTGTTTTTCCAATCTTTCAGGAACACCTCATTTTAAAAAAATCAAGATTTCAATTCAATATAAAGTAACAATAATCACATATATCCAAAAAGGAATTATTTATTTTTTTTATTTAGTAATTTCTCTAAAGCTTTTTTTAAAACCAAAAATGTAGTTAGACATTTTAAAAAATAGTGTACTAACAATCGTCTGGTTTTGGTACAAAGTTTTCCAAATCATCTATGTTATCTTCTACTATAGAGAGTTTGTACACATCAAGGTTGCCCATGAGTGAAATTATACTACTGACAGCTTGATCTAAATTGTTTGCTTTTTCAACACCAACTGAAGCAGTAAGACCAACAACCTAAAAGAGGCAGAGTATTTTATCTTAAATATTCAACTCTCCATCATAATGATAATGAAAAATTTTAAAAATAAATAGTTGAATGATGAAAAATAAATAAATTTATTACTAAAATCTTAAAAAAGAAATAAAATGAATTTTAAAACAAATTAAACCTGAGGTAGGCTTTCCATGTGAGTATGTGTGTCTTCTTTATGTTTGAGATTGATGTAGCAGTTCATTAGAGTATTGTATGTTTCCCCTTTGCGAGTATGATGACATTCATCAAATATCAAAAGTGAAAACTCATTTAACTGAAAGTCTTTAAACTGTATATTATTCTGCAGTATCATAGGTGTCATCACAACAACATCATTTGCATTAAGAACACTTATGAGGTTTAAGTTATCTTTGCTCTCTCCAGTAAGAATTGCTGTCTAAATTTTAAAAATTAAAAATAGTAAACATTAACAGTACAATTGTAGTATTAAGGTGGACTATAAACATGAAAAGATGCATATTTAGTTACTTTAATGGTGGTCTTAATTTAACCGTTTTTAAGTGTAATATTAAAGAGTTCTTTTCCTTTCTTATTTAAGTAGCTTCATTGCGTTATGTATTTTTTTATGTATAGAACTGCCTGCAATGAGCATATTTTGCTTAAAAATAGGGTTTGATTGGAAATATCAGTTTTGACTTTAGTTTACAACTTTACTTTTGAGTTGATGGGATAAATGTAAACTTGTCCTGAACATTGGCATTTTTAAAACATTTCTTTGAATTATTATTTACATATTTTGTGTGCGAACAACATCATTTGTAATCATTATGTAATTATATTTAATTTAATGTACCCTTCATGAAAGACCTAAAATTGTTGACAAAGTCAATCATTTTCTAAGAACAAACCTTGAAACAATTAGGAAGATAATCACTTAAAACTTTATGCTGCTGAGTTGCCAAGGGTATTGTTTTTGCCAAAAATGCCACTTTCTTTTTTGTACCAGTAGCTAAAAAGAAATTAATGTTGATGATTATGTATTGTGTTTCAACTTTTTAATTGATATTTTAGTTTAAACTAAAAGTTTTAATTTACCTTCATGGTTTGTTAAATGATCAAAAATTATGTATGCTGCAACCAAAGTCTTTCCAGAGCCTGTTGGTGCACATATAATTGTATTTAAGCCCTTTGTGGCTGCCTTTTCTGCCAATTCCAATTGATATGTCCTCAGATGTTGTGCATCAATGTGCTCAAAATTGTTACTTGCATGTCCTAAATTCATATATATACAAACTTAAATAAATTAAATATATATATACTCTTTTTTTGGTTTAAATTAACCAAAGTGTAATGGTAAAAACAGTTGATGCTGATACAGATGTAAAGATAGGGATAGAAACAGAGAAAGGGGTAGAAGTAGAGATATAGGTAGAAAGAGATATGTAGAGATACATAGTTACAAGTATATATATATATATATATATATATATATATATATATATATATATATATATATATATATATATATATATATATATATATATATATATATATATATATATATATATATATATATATATATATATATATATATATATATATATATATATATATATATATATATATATATATATATATATATATATATTCTCTCCACTACATAAAATTTCATTTAAGAGATATCAGTAGGTATTTGTAGATTATACTTACCTAATATTTGTGCGGCATTCATAAGAAGTGGCTGAGTATCCAGCAGTTCAGTATTATTTGCTGGTAAATCAGCTTCTTTATTATTTTCTTTCAAAAAAGATATTGTATAACTTTTTAAATATCCATTGGGCTAGTAAATTAAACTAATTTTAAAATGCAATAATTACATTTACTTTAACACAGCTATATCATATTTTTAAAAATCACATTATCCTAAAACTCATGGATAAAATATCTTTAAAAAAAAGAAACACTTATTGAGTATTTGAATGATAATTCATTGGTGAAATTACTGACCTGCAAAAGTGTCACTTTGTTCAGTTGAATCAGCACATACACTAGAAAAATCACTAACAACACTAGGAGGACCATGTACTGGTTTTAGATGGCATTGATCAGGGATGAGTGGACCAACATTGCGGGGAGTTTTGCGAAGTGTTTTATCAATAAACTCTGTCTTATCTTCGTCTAAAAAAATTTAAGATTTAAAAATAGCTAGTTGAAATTGTGCTAATGTGTGCAAAAGTTTTACAATAATATGTTTATAATGCAATCATATTTTTAAAACCAATTCTACACAAGAGTAACGTAGCAAATTTCCTCCAACATAATTAGCATGCATATTATTTGTCAACATTTTATGCACAATTTGTAGAGTAGGCTGCTTTTCTTTCTGGATTTGCCTCTATAGCCTTTGTTTTCCAAGAACATTTTGCTAATGTGTTTTAACTCTGGTTTTTTTTCCTGCCCAACCATGGGGTTCCCATAATGCAAACATGTTTTTTCTTTAATCAACTCAATTTATTCCTTCTATAAATACTTTACTCTTACTACAGCAAGACAGAAATAAGTTCAATTAAACAATGACAGTAGCAAACTTTTGTGTTACTTATAAAATTGTGATATTTTTGAACAAAAATAGATGACAAAGATTAAATTACCTGCCAGTTTAGATTGTTCATTACTATTTGCAAACTTAAACTGCTTTGGTTTAGAACTCATTTTCCTTTTGTTGCAGTTTTTCTTATGGCTGTGCAGTAATGCAAAAAATTATTTTAGTTACAAAATAATACTAATTTTACCTTCAAATTTATCATATATTTTTTAAAAATCTTAACATTAAATTTGTGGATGTTTGTTCTTATCAGTCTTTTTTAATTGTATTGATTAATTTAAGTAAT